GGCGGATGCGGAGATGTGGCCCCTGGTGTTGGTGCTGCTGCTGGGTTCGGCGCGCTGCGGTGAGTGGTCACTTGCTCTTGGGTCCGCGGCTGGTGTCTCGCCGCCCCCGCGGCAGCCCCTCGGGCGTATGGGCTGCGCCCCGTCTGGCCCGGCGGCGCCCTGGAGAGGGTGGCCGGGGTACGGGACGCGCGGGCCCTGCACTCCCCGGGTGCGGACGTGGGAGGGCCCCGCGGGTAATCGGCGCCCCCTTCCTTTCTTCCTTTTACCTCCTCTTCCTCTTTCCCCTGGGTGAGAGCGGGGCTCATCTTTTCCTGTTTTCCACCTTCAGATGCCCACACCGAGGAGGACTCCAAACCGTTCACCTCGCTTAAAAATTAACTGTAGAGAGAAGGGGCGCGATCGGAGGCGAGAGGTTGGCAGCTGTTAGGATCCCCCCTCTTTCGCACTCCTCTCCCTCCTCAGTGCTTTAAACGCATTTGGGGTTGAAGGAGGGAGAGTGGGAGGGCCCGAGCCTCTTGCGATGCAAGTGCGCATTTTGGCGAAGTCTGCAAGAAGGGGTTTCTCCTGTTTGCCCTCCCACATGAACATAGGAGTTAAGGGGACATAAAGGACACAATTAAGTTTCATTTCCAGCCCAGCATTTAATCAGAAGAATCTTCTGGCCACCACCCCCCCTTCCGCCCCTTTAACCATAGGAATAAGCTTCCTGAGTGGAAACTCTTTTTCACTACCCCCACGCCCCATCAGCCACTTTAATACAGTCCAAATTGCATGTTCAAGTTTTCCTGCTTTATTAAAGGGAACCGTTCTAAAAGTAATCCAGATTTCGCTTGAAATATGAAGACAGTAACCTCTATATGAAGACAGTCAAAACCATATTTGCGGCAGAGTGGGATTTGGTGTCTGTCTTTCAACGCCAGAGGCGTGTTGGCCCCCCAAGCTTTTGGAATCCATTTCGCTTTTTTAAAACGTGTGCTTCGTCTGTAAAAACTGAGAAAGGAATGGTAATTTTCGTGGTTCTACAGTACATGTCACACTTCACATCTATAGAGCCTCTTGTGAACTTTCTGTAAGATTCAGAATTGAGTTTGAGTAACATTAACAGGCAGTTGTTACATTTAATTCTAAAATGCTAAATTAATTAGATTTTAAACGGGGTATTGGCCTCACGGTGCCATTCCTAAAGGCTTGTGACTTCAAGCTATTTACAAAATGCCCATAAGTCCAGGCTTAGCACTTTCCCCACTGCCTGAAACCTCCCGGGATGTTGGAGCTGTTAATAGTCAATGTTTGTTATGTAAAGGGTTGATATTAGGAAAGCAGTATTTCCAGTTATCCTTAACGGCTTGTTGCTCTTACTATCATTATCACTCAAGCAATACTGCTTTCAAAAACCTGTTGTATGATCAGAAAGCCTTCTGTTGAACCAGATAGTAAATTTGTAATAAAATATTACTAATTCAGACCTTTGGTCTCAAAGCTAGCTTGCAGTATAAAAAGTGTAAATCGTGTACTATTTTAAAAACAGAGGTCCTATTTTCAAGTAGATTTAAAAGAACCGCTAGAATGGTACTTTGGGGGATAGAAATTGTTAGGCCTCCTTTAGTGATACGGTGTGATCATGTATAATTAGCACTCATTTACATACAACGTTAATGTTCTCCAGTCCCTGCAGACTCATAGAATTCAGAATTTATGGTATCATATTGTACTTAGTTAATAATAACCTGAAAAAAAAACAGAGGCAGTTTGCGTTTGAGTTCTGTTAATTGTTGAATATCAAACAGGAAGGGGTAGTGTCTGTCATGAGATATAATGGAATTTTGTGCATGTTTGTTTAATATGTTGTTTTAAAAGGACGTGTATGAAGAGATGTTAACAGTCTCAGAACACAAGTGGTTACAAACCAAGGTATTTGGGAGACTGAATTAAGATTCTGGAATGAATAAGGAAGTCATGGGTTTGTATGTTTATTTGCTCTGAAGTTTGATTTTGCTTTCAGTTTCACTTATAAATGATAGGTAATCAAAAGCTATTGCCTGGTAGCCACTACAGTTTCATTTGGCCTTCGTAGGAAAGGGAGTTACCAAAAATGCCCATTCCATCTAATTAAAGGCAAAATGCAACAGCCTGTATTGGCTTACAAGACACAGAATGAATGACTATTCTCCTTTCCTTCCCCCTCCCCCATGTGTCCAATTATACTTTGTTTAAAAGCACATCAGCAGTTTCAGTAGTATTCACAAACTGGTAAATAAAATGTTACTCAAATAATGACAGTAATATGAACTGTCTTTCTGGGTTGAATGATTTTTCTTTGTCCAAATGAGTTTTTAAGATCAGGGGTACACATGAGTAAAAAATATTTTTATTGTCTAAGTCTAGTAGTAATTTGGCTTGCTTGTACTAAAAATGTTTTCTTTTCTTCTCAAGAATATATTACTTTTAACCACAATTTGCCATTTTAAGGAAATAAGTGCCTATTTAAAAGTACTTATTTCCGGGGCCACCCAGCAGTCTAGAGGCAGTGTGTTAAAGCATTACACTAAATGCCTGCCATTAGGACACTTGCTCATGCTGTCATCAGTGTTTTGGCAGATGTTTTATCTTTGCCACTGAGTTGTTAATGTGGATTTGAAAGGCTGGGTTCTAAAGATGAAAAATAGGTGGTTTTCCCCAAATTGATAAACATTCTGAATCCAGAATACTCTATTAAAACTAAGTTCACATTCCTAAATGTTAATTCAGCTCCAGCTGGTGTGGGCATTGGGTTTTTTTTGATACATTCATGTTCTTTTTGTGACATATTTTTCATATAACTATTTTAGTCATCTCAGGTTTTTGTTGTCATAGCTTTTTATAAAAGATAAAAATTCCTGTATTTTTATATCTTGTGCCTCAGCCTAATATACTCTCGGGTTGTGATAAAGCAACTTTCACTTTGTGTACTAGTGCACATATTTCCTCTATAATAAAAGAATAAGAATGATAGCATAGGATCACTTTTACTAAACTCACTGTGGCACTAAAGTTAAAAAAACAAAAGAGAGAGCACACAGGAAGTTTGATTCTAATATACCTAGACTAAGACTGAGACAGGAAAACCTAGGTATTCCCTCTTTCTGGTTACATGGAGTTCAAACAGGAATTAGAAGCTGCACCTTCCTCTGAATATTTCATTCCATAGCCATGGGCATTGTAAAGAACTCAGAATCTGGTCAACCCCAGGGTTTGAGATTTAGATAAAGAGAATAAATGTGCATATTTGAATACATGTTACACTTACAGGTTAAAAAGCAAGGCAAGGGATTTGGCAAGGGCAAAATTGCCAAATCTGTCAAAACTGCTTTTTCTCTTTCAAGCAAGTATGAGCCCATGTTATATTCTAAGAAGCACTTTGCAAGGTCCTCTTGGACATATAGACAAATTTCAGACTATATGCCTCTTTGTAACTTAAAATGTAGTTTTTAAAAAGAAGGGATTTTTTTGTTTTTATACCTCAGTGGTACTTAATATATTTTAAATGCTTGATAAGGTTGTAATTCTGGATACTACTGACTTTAAACTGCTCTGGGCCCTGTAATTCTAGGTTGACCACTTCTATTCTTCTGAGGCCACTTTAAAATCTAGTAGGGGATTAGTCTGAGTCAGAACTAAACACAGGTGGACACCTCCATTTTACTCCAGACTTTAGTTGGTTTCTGTTGAGGAGAGATCTGACCAAATCCTCCTTTTGTCCCTAATTCTAACCTGATTCAGCTTGAGATTCCAGTTCTTCATACCAGGGCCCAGGTCTGATGGCAAAGATTAGTAGGTTTCGTTTCTAGCGGGTGCCTTTACTCATGAGCTTTACTTCCTTTACCTTAGTGACTGCTGGGGCTTCTTACCCCGTTCCTGAACATCCATTCCAAGCAGGTAATTAGCTTCCTACTCCACTGCAAAAAATAGTGATGTGTGGTGTGGAGTCTCTCAACTTCCCGCCCACCATTGTTAAACTTGTCTGTAATATCTTAGGTAGCCTTCGTCTCATTCTTCTCCTTCACCCAGGTCAGAAGTATTCCTTTTCCCCTTTCCAAGGAAAGGACCACCTGTCTACAGCTCTTTGACTTCCACCATCTTGGAGACCTGCTCACTCAGCTTAATTCTTCAGTATTATCCCTTAGATCTTTCCCTCTCCTCTCCCCTGGTTCCTTCATCTTAGCTTGCAGACATGGTCAAGTTTTAGCCCATGTTAAAAACAAACAAACAAGAACAACAACCCAAAAACTGGCCCTTGTCGCTGCCCCTGTGCTTTTTCCATTATGGCCTCTCTCTGCTTTCTTATATTGCCAGGTTGATTCAAAGAGAATCATTGCCTCTTCTTTCTGCTTTCCCCTTCACTTCCCAAGTGCAGTCTGACTTCTAATCCCTATGCTGTTGACATTGCTGCAGACAAAGAAGCTGATGATGAAATTTTTAATCTAGAGGCTGTTTTTACTTATCCTGCTTAACATCTGTTTTGTCCGTATAAGACCCTTCTTGGTGCCTGTGGTGGTGTAGTTTGCTGCCTCACCTACTTTTGTTTTTCCCCCCCTCACATCCTTGGTTTGTTCATCTTTAACTGTTTGCTCCATAAATACTGATGTTCTCCAACATCTTATTCTCCGGTGCCTGCTTTACTTGCTTTGGGAGGATTCTCTGGGTGATCTTGTTTATGCTCACAGCTTCAGTTACCAGCTGTATTCTTGGTGATTCCCAAGCCTTTGTAGCTCTGACCTTGCTTCTTAAATCCAGAGCCATATACCTCGGATCTATTGGACACCCCCATTTCATTGTACTGCAGGTACTTGAATCCTGAGCCTACTGAGTATTGAAAGAATATTCACCCCTAAATCTCTTATCTGTAGTTAATTCACAATCTAACTGGTTATGCATATTATTTTAGTTAACAGATCTTAATTCTCCTCTCCTCTTCCTCCTTACCTCCTGTATCTGACTTTTGTTGATTCTGCTTCTTTGTTTTTTACTGTAATTTTTGGCCTTCTCTCCAGTTGTCCTTTAGCTGGACTATTACAGTGAT